TGGTCTACTGTAGCTAGCACGTTGGCTTAAATCGTAGTGCCAAGTATATTGTTGCTCATAAGGATGGCCTCTGCGATTTCAAGGCTTCTGGATTGTCTTGAAGTTGAAGCATGATTCATAAACAACCGGCTTGGGTATATTGCATGCTCCGGCAAAAACTGTACATAAAATGTTGCCTGTCAAAATGAGGCGATGATGTCTACCTTGTTAGTACGTCATGCAGAAATGCTTTTCCCGCATGGAGACTGAAGTGTTCAATTGGTTATTCACAGCGCCAACTGATTCTACTGCATTTTCCAGAGCAGCTTGAAGGAGCTTTGTACTCGAAATAGTATTCAATATATCCTTCAAGGGACGTGATGAAAGCCAACAAAATGCGTCATTCAATTCAAGAAAATATCTTTTGTGTAGCTTACACCGTGAATGTCAAAACTGCGTACCAAGCTTAGAACATGGTTTTCCGCAAGTTGCTGATTAGTTTTCTGGTTTGGCGATCGTTTTGGAATTTTTGCTTGGCGAGGCCCCTCTAATTTTCTGTATTTGCTATCAGTTTATTTGCTAGATTGATTGTGTTGTGAACGCGTTATGATAGCGGGATTGGAAGCCAAACAGCAACCCAGAGGAGGTGCTCATCCTCATTTCAATCCAAGGTTGTTTGTAGCTTCATGATTTTTTTTTTCAATGTATGCAGTCCTTTTTGCCGTGAGGGCGGGCTAAGGAACATTGGAAGAATAGCAGTGGTTGTCGAGGAGTCCTCAAAAAGGCTGGATGAAGTTATAGATTGGAGAACCCATTACAGAATCGAATTAATGCGTACAGTAGGTCGCTTTCTCCGCTGGCTACAGCTGATAATCGACAGCCCGCTTCCTAAGCTCACCAGTGCAGAGCATAGGAACTGTGGTACACGGAAAACTCGGTAGCCTCAGTCACTACCTATATGGAAAACCGCGCTGAAATTCAGCTAGCTTCAGCCTGTCTGTATGTACAACCATCAATCGACGATGGCATCTCTCCGATTTTGACAAAATGATGTCGTCGCTTTGCGCCTGGATGTAGAGGTAAGCAACAGGTGTTCGGTGGCTTAGCTTTCAGCTGATCCCCTGTGACTCATGAGCACCGCAGCCGCATTGCACTTGAAAAACATAAAACAAACAACAAACACTTGGCACCCCTAGCCTTTTTACAATGTAACGTGGCTGCGTTTGGCCGTTCCGGCTTCAAGGCTTTCCGCAATGAAGGACAAGTAGGCAACCTTCACGAACAATTGGATGCACAACGAGCCCACTCTAACTTGCTTCTTGCATACCCTTGCGCTCCTTCCCAATAAGTATATAGCGCAAATATTTTAGGATATTTGATGCTGCTTGGTGGTGGCAATATGGGCATATATTTGGTATATTAGCCTGCGAGAAGGCAATCTTTGTATTTTTTACGTCCGTGCGTGTAACTAAGCAACCCCCCAAGCGTTTTTTTAACGCAAGCATTTTTTTCCTCATTTGCTGCTGTCCGCCGACGCCAGAATGCCAGGTAGCAATCATCTCAAGCGCTAATCCTATGTAGCCATTTTTTAGCCCAGTTTACAGCGGATGACTTGTCTTCGCATCTAGCGAGAAAAAACCAGCGCTGCGGTTTCTTGAGTTTCCACCTTCTTTCTTGCTATGGTCAAAGTACTGCAGCGTTTGCTGCTAACCAGTGCAGAAGATTTGAAGGCAAAATTCTGAATAACCTGCAAAGACCATGTGTTCGTTCTTCTTTGGAAGTCGCGTGTCTGATATAAAGAGGTTCCGCAGCAGCAGTGTGTTGAAGAGGCGTTCAACATGTAACACATTAGCGGACTATCTCATGAGCGAAACTGAACAGCTATATATTATCTTTTGCGAAGAAACTAACATTTAGCCAGATGGACCGGTAAGGACATCACAACAGCATATAGGTTATGAACTGAATCGATGCCATGATCTGGCAATTCGCTTGAAATTTCGTGGCGTGTTTTCCTTTCTTGTACAGATATTGAGCTCATGGGCAAAAAATGTTGGCCTGGCTGTGCAGGTGATTTGGCAGAAAATGGGAACCTTTAGTGCACGATTTTACAGGAAATTTGCCAGAGTTCAGCGGTCATGTTAGCATTAAAATCTTTTGCAACCGGACGAGCTCTCTATCGCATCCAACCCACTTCCTGCTCTTTGTTTTTTTCGGGTATTCGTAAAACATTCCTTAAACTGTTTCCAAAATTTGTTCGCTTAAACTGCTATAGTACTTTCTTGTGTGCATCCTGTCCTATAGAAAAAAAAGGCATTCTATTTCTGAAGAAGGCTTTTTATTACATCCTCACTGAACGCACATCTCATGTTCGGTTGACCCAACGTAAGTGTACGCAAGCCTCGTTTGCCACATCATTCAGGCGGAACTCATTCATTAAAGCGGAACTTCCAGAGGAGGATACGTTTGCGCGGTGCAAACAGGATAGTTTCAGTGTGTCTAAATGCGCAACAGACGGGTGCGGCATTATTGTACACCGGACAAATTTCGCCGGGTGACTCCAGCCAAATATGCATTCTTTTACACTGCACTCCAGGTGCTTCTGGTATTGCTATACATAGGAGATTTATTTTGCAGGGAATCTCCGCGTTTGATGGAACGCTCTGCCACCTGTGCATTCTAGCTGCATATCCCAGGAGCCAACCTTCGCAGTCCGTAGAACGTCGTGCTACTTGGTCCTTCATCTACAAACCCTGGATCGTTGGTAGCTTCATGAAATCCCGTCGCAACGAGATATTTCACCTAAAATTCGTGCAGAATAATTGTGCCACAAAGGTTTAATTATTCCTTCCCGCGGCTGCTTGATACCAACTGCAATTTCCCGTGCACCTGACCATGCCAATCCACTGCCGAGTCAGTCACACGGCCGAGTCTTAAATAGTTTGCCGCGGAGAGCATATTCGTTTTATTCTGTAATCTAAAACGAAAAAACATTCGAAGCCCCACGCATTGATGGACACCCGTTATGCTGGTAACCGAATTGGATTTCTTGCGTGAGGCACTAGTGTAGTAGCTAATGCAACTTAATAGAAGAAAATATTGCTGATATTCTAAAACACGCGGCTTGCAGTTTGGATTAATAATGTTTTAGTTGGATCCTAGTAATAGGGCTCACAGGATCCGTTCTCAAAAGAACGTGATTGCACCCGTCCTCTGCTGATTTCTGTTATCAGCAAACCCTAATTCTGGTCACGCAGAGTAGTCTATCATCCGCCTATGCTCAGTCTATTCACCTATAGTAAGGGCGCGGTGTCGCATACGCTCATGGCCCATCTGGCGCTTCATTAAAACTTTTCCTTCGTTGCAGTCACGATCAACCAGGCATGCTAGTTGTACAATCTGGTGCATGCAGCAGCCCTGGACGCGCGCGCAGCTCAACAGCCTCTTGACAGAGGAAAGTGCTAAACGCACAACCAGCCTCTTGACAGTTTGTGCGTTTATCACTTTTTTCTGTTGAACTTCACGGATAACACGCCATGCTGTGGAAGGCCAAATGGGGTGCAACAAACTACACGGGAATTGCAGTTAAGATAATGAGGTACCAATAAGACGCTCAGCCGGTCAGGTCCAATAGGGAGAAGAAAATATGGCTTGATGCATACACTGTCTGCCGTTGTCTGTCAAAATATGCGCGGATGTCTGTGGACAGCTAACGTTATGGCCGATGAATGGGAAGCTATCCTGTCTACCTGCAGACCTTCACCAGATGAATGAGAAGCTATCCTGTCTAGCTGTAGACTTGCGCCGACTCTGGCGTTGTTCGATAGCTCTGTACTACGGCTACATCCATCGGTGCGTCTGATGTGCCGCCGCTCCAGCAAACACCCTCAAAAAGTATTGCAGTATAAACACAAAACGGTCCAACAACGTGCAACAGGCATACTCCACTCTCGCCAGCAAGGCTTGGGCTACCACATTTGGCAGTTCAAGTCACTGCCGCTTCCTGTTCGTTCCTTTGTAGTCGAATGCCACACAAAATCATCGCTTCCTGTTCATACTGTTTCACCAGTATGGGATAATACCCTGCAGACAGGCAGGCGGTTCGGCTGGTCACGTAGGGGTACACGCGAAGTTAATGGTTGTCCTCCATGCATGCAAAGATTTTATCATTTGCCACTTGTACAGGACTTGCTTGATCACCAGCTAGTTCGCATGGCCTATCGCTTGAATCAAAGGTGGCACTCAAAGTTGCTTGAGCTCGTTGTTTCTGCTTCGCACGTGAATACAGTGCAATTTTGTCTACGATACATAGGTGGCTGGAAATAAGCTAGTGGCTAGAAAAACCATATATTTTTTGTGGAAAATATATGTTCTGTCAGAGGTAAAGCGCTTTATGCTGCAAACAACAGCATGCGCAGGTATGAAAAGCAAACATTTGCCCAAGTCATGTCAAAGCCAAAGACGGCCTTGACTGAGGAATGGTTACGCCACTTCGTTGGCACCAGCAGGAACAAAACAGATAAAGATTATTGTTTGGTGTTCCATCTCCAGGATGAGTGGGAACTAAACAAGCGACGAGTTCAGAGCATATCTTCCTTGGCTTATTAGTTTTTCGTGGGGCAGTATCATGAGCAATCATCCAGTGGCATATTGGCGAGAGCCTGCTTGTGTGCCCCCTGCAGCTTGTCGCTGCCTCTAGGTGCTACCACCGGTTGCCGCAAATAATAGGCAGCCGGGGATTTGCGCAACTCAGAAATGAACGTTTGCCTGTACTTTAGCACGTTCTCATTATGACAAGGCAGCAGCATATGCCTATCAAACAGCCCATCGCTGTGGGTGTTTGGTGGGCACTCACTCAACTGTCAGGTAATACACCATTTGCTCAAGAGATAAATTTATTGTACAATATATGGGCTGATTTTTTTTCCAACACATGTCAGCAATTATTTGGTTAAACCCTGGCTGGGTGATACATTGCATGATCGAAATACCCACCATAATATATTTGTCAACCGCTAATTTCATTCGGTAGAGCATAGCAAAGCAGTCCCCCTCAGCTTCCAGTGCGAAGGGTGAATATCCGTGCGTAGTTGTACCCTGAATACCAAGTATTTGTCTGTCCTGTTTGGATACCTGTAGACCGGGCAGTCATAAGGTTCAAACTGTCCGTAATCCATGGACTTGTTGCGTTTGTCCCTAGATGTTAAGGCGGTAGCGTGCACAACCGGCATTCTGTCGACCATGACTTTTGGTAGTGATTCTTCCAGCCTGGATTCATGCCAGTTCCACCTGCGACAACAGCAAGGAAGCGCACGCATGTACCATAGTTACCACTAAGCACGCATAGTTCGCTAGTGTGCAGAGAGAGGCTGAGCCGGAGGAAACCTTCAGCGGGCTGAATAAGGTTATTCTAAACAAGTTACTTACCGGGATCCTTCGATATATAGGCCATGGATGTTAACCCCTTCGTCTGGAATATCTTTTATTTTCTCTACATCAACAGTACGCATTTCAGAGTGCAGGACGACGTCATCAAGTCCCCACTGGTCGCGTTTGTGCTGGCGTGTGACCTGCATGCCAACATCAATGCAAGCAGCAAGCGGCTTCAAACCCCACGAACTGCTAATGTTATTTCGTTAGAGAGACAGTGCATCGTAAGTACATCGTACCTCCTGCATCATTCCCGTAAGGAACCCCGTGGGATTGAAGAAGCCAGCGAGCCAAAATGACTTGGGCCTTCCTTTTTCAAGCCATGCACACAGTTGCTCAACCCTAAGTCTCATGCCCGAAAACCACTTTCCAAGGGTAGGGGACAGCCACGATATCTCTGCACCGCTCGGATCCTTAACCCAGCGGCGTGGCACCCGCAAATCAGAGATTGCAGTTACATCATCCTGCGAAACCCCCACAATTTAGGCGTTTGTTGCTCTCTGTCCTGGATTACTGTGTTGCAAACAATTCAGCAGCCCTGGCAGGCCTCTGTATAGCTTTAGCATGGTATCGTAGTAGATTGCATACGGGTGTGGGTTTCCTGGCTGAAGCCCCTTCCCACCTGTAAGTCTGGGGTCATGATGACAGTACCATCAATTGCACTGATTATTGATGATAAGTTGGTGCGGACAATTGATAGGATGCGCTGCATACGCTGCACTTCCTGCGGCAAGGAAAACATAAAAAAACAAACGCCGAAGGTGCGAGGTGCAAGAGCTCGGGAATAAACATTTTTTGTGTTGCCCGTCACTGTTGCACGAGAGCACGGCCTAGCCTTCCCCTTAATAATATCGCTGGTATCATACGGCCAACTCTCCCGCTGGCATTGGTGTATGCTGACCTGGTAGAGGAAGATATTTAGAGGAGCCGAGAATCCTTTTGCATTTAACGCCGGCGGTCCGGAAAGTTTGGAAACCTGTTCCCTGTACACTCTCTCTTGGAAGTCTTCTGGCATTTTGCTTAACATTTCGACGCATTTCTCGCGGACTGTGTCTTCCTGTGACTTTCCCTTGCCCCCTGATGATGATTTTGGGAGAGTTTCCTGCCGAATTCAGTACACATTTCGTAGTCTGAGCACACTCTGATGCTGCTATCAAGGAAACGGCATTGGGCAAAAATTATAAGAGAGCAATGCTCCAGATTTACCTGTATAGTTTCGAGCATCGATGCAGACTCCTGCAGCCGGAAAGTAAGATCGGCATTTACGTGGAGCCCGAAGACTCCCGGTTGGTCGACATAGGGTAGCGAGTTGATGTAGTCACGGTAGACAGAGATGTCGGTTGCTTGTGGAACTTTGTACATGAATTCATGAGCGTTTGTAGTACTGCTATTAAAGCAAAATCCAGACCTGAATAGGTCGTCAGTTAGCCATTTTCCCGTGTACGTGTTGAACATCTGCGGTAAGGCACACAAACACAGAGGTTCTAGAGTCTTTGCCCATGATAGCAGGAGTTGCCGCAACTTGTGAACTTTTTACTAGTACTAGTGGTTCTTTTCATACCTCTCTGTCTAGGTCGTCTGTAATGCGTCCGCCATACTGCACCTCGCCCACCATGTATCCTATGGTAGACCAGGATAACGGTTGTCCTACCAATATTGTGGCTGCAAGATGCTTCTCTACAACAAACAGGGATGCCTCTAAATCCGAATAATTGAATTCATACGGAATGCACCAGCCTAGAGGACCAAATTTTCGCCTTTCTTGGACCACGCTATGCAGCATAGCAAGAGCAAATACAATTGTTCGCCATTTTTCGTTGTTCACTTTGTCCAGCGTTTCTTGAGTGATCATCGTTGTAAAGCTCCTTGACAGCCCTGCCTTGAGTCCGATAGGCGATTCATTCGTGACCTTAATGGCCATTTGCAGAAGTCCAATTGGAAACTTATTATGCGGCTCGCACGTAATCCACAAACGGAAGTCCTGAGGGAACAACTCTGAGGAGTCAGCCATGAGGGCTTAGATGACGATGAAATTTTCATATAAATTTTTCCAGCATCTTCACCTTAGAAGCAGCTGCAGTTATGGACCGTAGAAGCACTTAGGCGTGCTTTGCTCAGAAAAACTGTCGTTCGACCCAAACGCCTACCTTGTTAATTTCCGTAACCCGAAGAAGCAGTTCCTCGATTTCACTCATGAAGTTTAGTCCAAGGTGGCAATTTTGCAGCACTACCCAACTACCCGATAAAAAGCCTGACTTGATCTTTTCCCTTGCAACTACCTCCTGTCCTTCTCCCATTGATACTTTGTCAGTCGGGAACTTTCGTTTCTTCTTTGCAAGCTCATCAATACTCGATGTCGGGTCAGCACCAGCCGAGAGCAAGAAAACCACTGGAACCCGACAAGATGATTCTTGCCATATGGACTCCACAGAGTCAGTCACCGGCTCTGTATATTTTGGTTCCAACAGCTGATCAATAGCACGTGCTGACGCCACCACCGTGCGATCCGGCCTCATAGAGCGAATCTGCAAAGTCGCATGGGAAGCGCCTCTCGCAGCTTCCAGAACCGTGATTTGCTAGTCTTATTATTTAGGTCAGTGAAACGTGTTGGCTTTAGCTCACAAGACAAAGCCTCAATATATGCCCGAGGTTTTTCAGACACTTAAGCCTGTCTTCGTAGTCTGGGACTGGTAGATTTTCTGGCTCGTTGTCTTCCATCCACTTTCTCCACGCAGCTTCGTTCTTGCTAAGAGAGTCGGGCAACTCGCAGAAGAGCTGTATTTGATCTCGACCAAAGCTCGTCCGCGAAAGCTGCAAGATGTTTAGCCAAACTTTTGAGTCCTGCCCTAACCATCTGAAGGGGCAAGGTGCTTCTGCCTTTTCGTCAAGACCTGCACAAACAGCGCTTGCCTGTTGCGTTCATCACGGTGGAAAGCCAAGCCTGTCCCTTTTCTGATTAGGCTAGCAAAGCAAGAGGGACCAGCAGTCGTAGGGCCGCAGGAGGCTGTCCGCCAGGCTGGAAAGTTATGACCACAAGTGATATATTACCCTGCTGGCGCCTCGGTAGAACATTAGGAGAAAGGTCTTACCTGCGCCACCGTTTAGAAGTAAGGAAATGTCGGATGATTGAAGAACACCATCAATTTGCAACATTTTCAGAATTAGCATCATCACGAAGGTCTGTTTGTGCCTCTCGAAAAGTCCTCTGCAGACGTATCTATATACCTGTAAACAGAGCGTTGAGGCGTCAATGCCCCTGCTGAAGTGCCATTTGCAACAAGTAACATCTTCAACTCTTCATTGACGTGTCGATCAATGCAACTAGAATACGGTAGCATGATGGGCTTTTCATCCTATATAGCCACACATATCGGGTTCGTGGACTGATTTGTCTCCATGAAGAGCTCACTTGATAGGTCAGATACTCTACAATCTTCTCCACGCGCTTGTGGGTTGGTTGGGCCTTTTCTGATCTATAGACGGATATATCAAATTGCTCCAGGAATTGCGCGAGGGAGCTGTTATACATCCAACAGATCAACGAGGCCTCAACCATGCAAAAGTAGAGAACGGATCCTCTAGTTGCCACTGGGCGATATTGCTCTCTCTTCTCATTAATCTGAATTGGCCCAAGCATCACTATAGAATCGTCCCTTGCACTGAATATTCGGAGTCACAGCCTGTTTAACACAGGCTTATGCAACTTCGTGCTCAGCGTGTTGCTTCCCAGGGTATGCAAACCATCATGCTACTCATATCATTTGTTTGTTCAGGCACTGTATTGCGCAACTAATATTACCTCCGCCTTTTTTTCTTGTGCATCTTTGAGCTTTTTCTCGACTTCTTTTGCCTTCGCTTTCGTGTTGGCAAGCACCTCTATAAGCTCCAGGTCATCCAAAAGGTTTCCAGAGGAATGCGACAAACGTTCCAAAAGCTGACTATCCAGCTCTTTCAGTGCTTTTGTGTTTGCCGTTAGGGATTCGACCAGCTGGTTAAGAGACTCTTCCAAAGCTCTTTGCTCCATAGAAAGAACACGACCAAGCAACTGTTGCTCAAGGCCTGAACCGGAGAAGCACAATTGCCTTACGTGCACACTTCAGAGATGCTCACGGGTCCACAACACCAGTTGCCTGCCTGGATGGCACGTTCGCAACAGCTGCGCTAATACCTTCATGCATGACAGTAAAGTCTATCATGGTGCATTTCGCATTGATCTCTGGGGAAAAGTGGGGATTCGCCAGCTTCGTCGTCATGTAGAGGGCAAACGCTGGATTGTAATCCACTTGTTGGTCCATAAACGTGACATAAAGCCGCTTCCCCTTCTTAAGGAACTGTTTCTCAAGAATTGGATCTAAGACTTCTGGCACGTTATCGCCAAGGTTTTCGATGAGTATTGGCAGACCCTCCGAAAGGCAAAATTCTATCTTGTCCTTAAACCTTGTCGCAGGCAGAAAAACACCGTGTAAAACACCCGTGTTCGTTTTTATGCCAGCTTGCTGGGAATAATTACCAAGCAGCGTACACCCCGAGAGTGGAGGCAACATGGAACGAAGTCCAAAATGGTCCTCGAAAATGGGTTGCACTGGGAAGTGGGGTTCTATCCTGCTGCGACGGTCGCCATTTCTGCTCCTAGGTGCAGTATGTTCTATACAGTTTACCTGGGGTCAGTTGCTGTTGTTATACATTGGCGAGAACCCTTCATGCTTTTCTCCTCTTTTTTCTTAATCCAGTTGTGGGCTTGCCCTTGAGGGTCTACCAATAGCGGATACCTATCGGATCGTGTTACAATGATGGCATTTTCCACCGATAATTCGTCTGCGGGGAGGCCCTGCAGGTTCCACTCTCCGCGGGTTCCTTCGTCCACGAGCAAGTCTACAATGTTCAGGGTTTCCGAACAGGGGATGCCGTTATTCTTGGCATCCTTCAGCATAATCCTGGTTTCGCAAAACACCGCCAACCAAGAAATGCAGCATTCGACAGTATCGCTGTCCAACTATAAAATGTAGCTAAGGACACGTTCTGTTGGACGGATTGTGTGATTTTTTCCTGGAGACTAACTCCTTTCTAAGCAATTCTCTGTATTCGGCGTTGAATGGGCCGCAGTATGACACGAATCCTGCTGCCACCAAGATGTCACCAACCAGCCGTTTTCTCCGCTCGGCGAAGGTATTAGAATCCTCCGTCCTGCAGTCAACAACCTGACTCGCCTGCTGTGAATGATAATCTGGGCTAGCATGTGGCATCAATTAAACATGGATAAAAATAAGGGGATACGAACCAACGCGTCTTTTCTCCGGCAAGCCCGTTGATTAGTCTGTTCGCCTGCTCCATTCGACGCTTTGTCGCTTGCGCCCTTTGCTCTAACTCTCGTTTCGATGCAAGTGCCTCCTGGAATTGACGGTTTATTTCGTCCAACACAGCCTGAGCTTTTCGCAACTCCTCTTCTGCTTCGCTCAGCTGACGGAGGGCAACCTCAACCCTATATTCACGCATTGAATGACGCATAGCTCAGCAACTGGAACACTGCTATGGACTATAAATAGAACCCAAGCCGTATGAATGCAGAATACTCTTTTGAAGCTCTGTTAGCGCGACTGTACCTGGCTGTTTGTACTGTCAGGTAGTCCATTTTCGGTTTGACAATCTTTGCAGCCTCATGGTACATCACCATCGCTCCAACCCATTTGCACAATCCTGCAGAGAAAGCGTAACTAAAGGGCGAGCAATCCATATTGACCTCACCAAGCGCTTGTAGTGGGGGAATCGCGAAAAGGCCATCGCAACGGAGCATTATGAGCGAGTTGACGTTTCCTTGACGGCGTCAGTTGCATGCTTGAGCATGTTTACCTTCAGCAGCATTTGATGCCTTTTTGGCTACGGCTGGGTTGAAGTGCTCCAGTTCGAGATAAGGAAGTAAGAGTTCGCACGTCTCGTCATTGATATTGTCTTTCTCTTTCTACTCCCACGAAAAGCACATTAGACACAAAAACTCTGATAAGACACCTTGTTTCCGCCTGCTGGTTGAGCATTTGTCCTCTTCGTGGCGGCGAGCAAGCAATAGTCCAGCATAGAAAATTGTGATTAGTACTAACCCTTGAAAAATCGAAGAGATTGGAAAGGAAATGCACGTCCGCCATCATAGCCTTCGCACTTTCGTCAAATGAGTCGTGAATAAAGTCAATCTGCTTCTTGTTTATGACCTTCGACTCTGCTTTCACATCTGCTAGCCGATTTTGCAACAGGATGAGAACGCCGTCAAAAACAAGACGGATAATATCTGAGGGGGTCTTCATTGTCTTTAGCTCAACTATATCCTTGGCAGTGATGGACTTAACTGCATCTTCAGCCTCCCGAAGGTATGGTAGAGCAGCCTGTAAATCGTTATTCGCCTCCTCTTGTTCCCGTTCAATCTCCTCTTTGTTCTTTAGGCACTCGTCTCGGAATGCTGCCACCTGGGATGCGCACACGACAGTGTTGGATATTCCAGAGGACCTATGCTAGGAAAACAGAAAACGCTGTTTTCTTGACAATGGGCTTGTGACTGCAATTAGGACCAGAAGCAACTGCCGTGGTACGTACCCCTTGGCTCTTCTTTTCCGCCTTGGCAGACTCGCTTTGTACTTTTGCCAGAAGCTGGTTGGTCTGCACTTCGGACTCCTGTAGTTTCTTTTCTTCAGCCTTCAGCTGCACCTTCATTTGTTTAATGTCTTGAGCAGCCTGGTTCAGTTTCTTTAGACCCACGTTCACGCTGAGCCATACTCAATCCATGCTGCATAGTACGGCATCGCAGTAGATAAAGGCGTGAGTGTGAAGCCGCTATTCCACGCTATTGCTTTACCTGTGTTCCAGATTGTTCACTTCGTCAAATTTCTCCGTATAGACCTTCTTGTAGAAGTTGATAAATGAAAGGTACGACTTTGGCGTGACATAGACGTATCTCCTCATGCGTCGGAAATAATCATCACAGGTTCTGTTTACCTGACATATCCGGCAGTGCAATCTTACTCAGTTTACGATATGTGGCTAGACAATGTTACTGCAATGCCATGAAGGCAATGCGACCCAACAAGCAATAACGTCAAGCGAAACCCTAACTAGACGCGTCATAAATTATGCCCAGCAGAACAAATCGACAGCATGAGGCCCCTGTGTTTGCGCTTACATTGTTGTGTACGTTGCCCATCACATTGTACAGGATAAGCTTTTTCTCAGGGCTCGCATCAATTTCGAATTTGTCCAAAAAGCTCGATGACACAGCAACTAGGGCTGCTTCAGGCCATGGCAAAAACCAATCAATGCTTGTGCAGCTGAAGAGCGCAGGGAACTTTTGTGCCCGGTCTACAAATCAAGAGTCGCAGGTACGCAGAATAGCCGCATTCATACAAGTGCCAGTTGGGACAGACTCGACAGTACCGCAGATGGAGTTTAAATGTGGTCAAAAATCACCCTTCACCATTTCTGCAATTCTTATTGCTTAGGAAGCCACGATGATATGCTGGTTTCGATGCCTCTAATGTTAGGATTTGTGTCCAACATCTTTACTTCCTGTGTGTGTCACCAGAGCTCACCTGCAAATTTCCTGCTCAAAGGAGAGAAGCAGAGGACTATGTGCAAGTTGGCACGGACACGGTTCAAGAAAAAGTTGTACATATTTGTCATCGTTTCTTGCAAGTGGGGGCATTCCTTGATGAAGTCAGCCCTCCTGTCGGCAACCATTGCTGTAAAACACCCACACGCACTTGACGGCAGCTGCTGTGTATGTGGTGTGCTCGCATGCAGTAGAAATTTCTCTTACACCTACACAATAGTGTGACTGAGCTTAAAACCTCTAGTTGATTGCAAGCGCCGTACAGTCCATTTCATCTTTGGCGAAAAGACCGGATATTTCCCCTGTAGAGAGGAAGGAATTGAAGTATTCCAGAAAACCTTCGTTCTTTATTTCCAAATCCGTCAAGAGGAACGTAGTCTGCATATTTTTCTGGCCAGTGTTTACGTAGAGAGCTCGGAAGTCATCAAACAGGGCACCATCGCCATACGTCTTGGTGATAGCTATTTGAAACTGTGAATGCCCAGCGATGAACGCAGCTAAGCGAGTAAGCGACTGTTTTCCCGAGCCGCCGACTCCTACGAGCATTGCAGAGCCCCGCGGCATCTGCAGCATAGCCCACAAAGGCTAATTGAGTGGCTTTGAAGCTTCCTAGACCCACTGCCTGATTGCGTAAACACTTCAGAGGAATTTTCCGAATTTCCCAGAGGCCCTGGGTACCTGAATTATTCTGGAAATAATCATCAGGTGAGCCAGCGCATCATCAAATAAAACCAAGTCCGCTGCCTTTGCTGGATTTTCCTCGTTATATCTCTGGAGGTACTCCATTGCTCTTGTTCTGACAAGCTGTAGATTAGGTACTGGCTCGTATACCTTCTGCGCAGGTAGTAGCTCGCCGGATTCGTCTTCACCAGGCTCCCGCAGGAAGTCGGCGAACCTACAGCCAGCAACGTAACACGAGGACTAGAGTCAAGTCATGGGACTCCCAGAAATTTCCACAAATATTGGCGGTTACGTGTTTGACCGTATATGCCAGAACAGGCGTAGGGGAGAGCGAAACTACCATGGTGTATCAACGACTGCTTTCTGCAGCGCGTGGTCAAAATGCTTGGAACACGCATCATTAATGGCCTTTTCGACAACGTCCTTGTCACTTTTCCGGCATAGCTTATCTGCCAGCACTCTGGTGCACTCGTGCTTCCAGAGGCCAAGGAAGCTTTCACATGTGTTTACGACGTCAAGCGGGCAGTTCAACACTCCTTGGAACACCCGTGAAAGATCGCGTAGGTTGAAGATGTAGTGGAAGCGGCTAGGCGTTGGTAACAACAGCTTCTTAACTTCGAGCCACACGTCTATGGTAGCCTGCGTAAGCTTTGACGACATTTCGACGACCTAGTATCAAACCCACTCACACCAATATAGTGCACCACGCTACAGCTCTCGATTCCGGCCTGTTCTTGCAGCCCCTGCTGAAAGGTCTCCTGAAGTGCTATAACTCTTACCAGCGGCGTTGCACCATTCTTCAGAGTTATTCTACTTCGAATCATCGACCCGTATATGTTGTCAACAGATGTTAAGGATGGCAGGATCATGTTTATAGAAAAAAATTTTGACTTAAGACGGTTTGGAATGTCGTTACGGCCACCGCCGGGATGATTCATTGCTCCTATATACCGGAGACCAATGATTGATTTGAAGTCGCCCCTACAAACGTAATAATAGCCAGTAAGGCCGACGATCTGACAATCAATTTAAATATTGTAAGCTGGATTAGTTTTCATATGAACAAGAATAATGCCTCAATTTGCTGCCGAGCTCAGAACAGCAAACATACCTTTTGTCTTTTTCGAGGAAGTAAAAGCCACCCTGTTCAATCAACTGGCGTAACAGCTCCAGTGTAACTTGATCTCCCCAAGCATTTACGAATGGCATAGACAAGTCGTCTAGGAAGAACACCATTTGCTTGCCACCTGGCGGGCAGTAGGTCTTCCCTGTCTTTCTCTCCAGGTTAGACTCAATGGTTTGTTGAAAGCGCTCAGGGAGAGTGGCTGAAGATAGATTTACCCTTTTCCACAAGGTTTCGTTTGCATCCAGCTTTTCCAAGAACATGAGCGCTGTAGAGGTTTTTGCTGTCCCGGGGCCTCCAAGAAGCAAAACGGATTGAAATGATGGCGGATTTCGTGATTGCGGCAGACTTGTCATGAGTTGCAGGATGTATTCAGCCCTGTAGACGCTCGCCCACAGAGGGTGCCATATCGCAACGAAACCTCCTCTTCTGGAGAGTTGGCAGTCATGTGCACATCGATGCAGCGTTTAAGCCCCACTGCTACATCCTCGACAAACCTTTCTGAGTCCAGAGTCGGTATAAGGATAGACGAGAAGGAGAAAGCCCCTTTCGGTGGGCTCCAATCAGGCGCCACCCATTTCCTAAATTTCTTGGTCTTTGGGTCGACAAAGTAGTCGAAAATCGTAAGTCCTGCTTCGCACTGATGTGGTGACAACATCTTGTCCTTTAAGAATGCGTTAAACTTCTGCCTATCCTCCGGTTCAAATAAGGCTCCACAGGACCAAGCTATGGCATACACCATCATGTTTTCATAGTCTTGTTGAGTCATGCCTTCGCTATTGGCTTCATATGACAACAGCATGCTGGTAAGGAGGTTAAGGAGCTGCACGGTCATCACAGCTGGAGTGATTTGCATCACGTGCGTGCAGTCTCTAAGCACGAAGTCGTATACTTGAGACGAGCATATATACCTGAAAGTCAAGTTAAACAGACAAACAATTCACAATTGCGTTATTCTGAAGGGACGAGCTAGGGAAACACTGATTCTGCATTTGACTCTCCTCAAATACTGAGAGATGTTACATCTCGCATATGAGGAGGCACTACTGACTTGTCGAATAGCTCGCTCATAATTTTTGCCTTCTGTGCTCCTTCAGGACCACCTGAAGAGAGCCGCTCCAGCCAGCTTTGGATCAGAGGCTTCCATCCGAGGTCAGAAGGGGAGACAAAGATGATCCCCGCTCTACTGACAGTAGCTGGAGATGCATTGTTAAGATTCTCCACTTCAAAAACGATCCTGAATACAACGAAAATTCATTGGGTAGACCATGTGCGAGCCGGGTGTTGATTCCGTGGGTACCAATTAAGTTTTAGACTGTTAGCCGTTTGCAACAACACAGGAATGGATTTTGCTCCAACACCTTGTATTTTCCGTCATGGGAATACGGTCGTTGTTGGCGAGAGTCAATATCTTGTTGTCGTCCAACACTGTGTTCAGGTTTTCAATCCAAATTGCATCTACTGGTCCATCGCACGTAATCCAAGTGTTGAACTTCAACGAGCGATTGTTGTACCGAGCCCACATCCACGCAAAGATACCAGGCGTCCATTCGTCAGATATGGGATCCTTAACGCCGTACATCTGCTGGGCAGTAATTGCCTTCGGGTTCATTGTTACAATACGGGTTTGCTGCCCAATGGCTGTCAGAGCCGCTGTGAGGGTGTTGGCAATCGTTGTTTTTCCAGAACAGGAATCGCCAACCAGCATGAAACCGTGACGGACAACAGACGTCTGCAGCACCAATGAAAAACGTTCTTTACAAAACTATTTAACATTATTCTACTTGCAAAACAAGTAGATATACACGGCTGCCATGCTTGCGTGCCTGCGATGCATTTGCGTACCTCGTAAAGCTGCATGATTTTTATCAAAAACTCGTCGGTCCGGACAAGCCCGCGTTTCTCCAGCTCCTGTAAGACAGCAGTTTCCACCTCCTGGTACACTTTCTTCGGTGGGTTGGCTTGGCGGGGGAATATGTCGTTGAGAAGCGAAAGGAATAGTGGGACGTCGTCCGCAACCAGCTTCGACAGGTTCATATCACGAAGGGTTCTGCGTACATTTTCTTCAAAAGCTGCTCCGTAAGTGTGCTATTATTGAATGACTGCGAATTGCGCGATGATGTATACATCAGGGATTCACTGAATTCTACCTCATGAGAAGCATTTCCTCGTCTGCTTCTGGCTCGTTTCGCTTCGTGGCGCCTGCTGTTCTCAGCACGGAAAGGATGTTCCTCAAACCGAAGTCATAGTGCCTTTGTTTGGAAAGCTGTTCCTCGCACAGCCCGTACAGTACCTTGAACTTTTTCGAAAGATTGTCGATGTCCATGTATCCAACTGATGCCAGCTTAACCTGCGGGAAGGCAGTCCGTATATTTGGGGGTCAGTAAAGTGAATCGACTGACGTTTGCCAGAGCATTACTTTGCCCTTTTTTAAGCCAAGCCCAACGAATTATGCTCAAAGCTACCAGTTACCAATCAAAGTCATACGTGGCTACGGTGGTGGAAGAAATGCCGCCTGAATTACAACATAATTATCCCAAGCAGCTGATTACCTTAATAATAATCTGCCGATCAGGGACCATCATGGATACACTTCTAAATAGCACTTTCAAATTTTCAGGCAGCTCCTGCCTTCCCGCATATCCAGGATTCATGGTAATAAAGTAGGCTGTGGTTGGGACGAGTTTGATGGGAGCCGACTCCCCGGGGAATAAAAATGTCTTGAGAGCTTGTTTCTTTGCAAGAGTTATAGATTCTATCTGAACTCACCCAAATAAGCAACGCCAACTTATACTGAAGTTAATGCTACGTGCATTCTACTCGTACACCCCTACAGACAATAGCAGCACTGCTGTCGATTCGGAGACGGAGCTGCGGCAGAGCTGACTCGTTTGCCAACACCCGCCATTGCCGCAAACGCCCACAAACCTGCATGGCGACGACTGATAACACTTCTAGGTCGATTCGATTGAATTCGTCGAAGCATCCCCAGAGGCCACTCTGGCAGAGACCTTTAAAAATCTTGGCCATGTCGGTAAAACGGTGTTGATCCGAACAGTTAGTAACGACCACAAAAACCCCAAGTGTCCGTCCCATGTCTTTAACTGTTTCCGTCTTTCCAGTCCCAGCAGGACCCGCTGGTGCTCCGCCGTAAAACATGCCGAGTGCTTGGGAACACGTAAGGTAACACCTGAGCGCAAATCCATTAGCACCTACCTATCGCGGGCTGTTGATGCTGTGCCCGCTCATGGTTTGTCAAAACTCATGCGCAGCCGTAGAGTGCACACTCACCTATCTGTCAGCGGAGTTATAGCCAAACGCTCTTTTACCCCAAGATACTCATAACAGTATGAAAATTCAACGTCAGCAATGGAAATCAAAGCACTTTCTGCATCGTTGTTCCAGTACAGGCGAGTCTGCTTGAGCCACTCAAAGTCGCTCGCGTCTTTGAGTCGGTGCTCCTTTACTTTCTTCCACAAGTCCGCAAATACATCGCGCTGCGTAATAGGTGAGATAGTCACAGGATGCAGTGCACCAATGAATTTCATGAGTGCTACAATGGAGGACGCCCCCGAGTGTGGGCTTCGTACGACCGACTCTTGTTCCTTTTCAGGACCCCGTCTTCAGTAGGAACGTTGCAAGGACATGCCTGCATTGCAAGGAGATGCCTGAGCGCTGTTCGCAACTCACTTGGTGCACATGAATGGTCACAAGCGTTTCGTACTTCGTGCGGTTGAGCCTGGTCCCCAAGTCTGAGAGGCAACACTGCACTAGGTCTGCCATCATCGTGGCAAACACTTTGTTTGTTTGTGCCATGATTGTTCTATCCCGTTCCTTGGATATCCTATCAAGAGCCTCCTGACAATCGGCTGTCCAGATCATTTGAATTCCGAGCAATGCCACCTGAGCTCCGCCATTCGCATACAGTACCTTTCCAGTGACAACTACACAAAAAAGGCAATGCATCGCACCGTGTAGTCAACGTTCTGCAGCACAGAAACCTGCTGGCATGGAGAAGTACTTCACCAGGAAAGAAGGCAAACCTGTGCGATGTATTTGTCACAGAACTCCCGCAGCGTCATTTGGCTGTAGATAGATCCCGATTCATGTGCCGCATATTTGCACTCCCTTCTGATGGATTTCTGCATTTGAGACTCTAGTGAACGCAGCCAGTCTTCTATGTTCCCCTCCACCTTCACGGGGGTGGTAAGAGGTACCACTTCCTCCGCCGACCCAGCCACAGCTTTGATGGCTGTGATTTTCTTCCGATCTGCTTTATCGAATTCCACCTACGGCAGACACCAAAGGGACTACGTGCCCTCATGCTTGGTCCCTTGTGTCACTTAGCGTGCACATTGACGAGCCATTTGTTTGGATCAACCAAAGCATACAGAAACAACCGTGGCCAACAATTGCATACTCTAGAAATCGCATCAAACAGCTTCTCCAAGTCGTCTTGGACTGTTTCTGCGTCCGACCCCTGGGAAAGAATTTTGAGGAGGACTGGGTTGGAGACAAAGTAGAACCTCGGAAATTTGTTCCTTTTGCCTTCCAAATATGACTCCAATGATTTTTGACAGCTCTCCAGTCCAGCAAACAGAGAGGGAAGGAGTTGGCGTAGAAGTTCGTTTTGGCAGCATTCTACCACAATGAGCGTCTCTGATGCTCTTGCCATGATACGCGTCTGTAAAGAGTCGTTAGAACAAAATATGGATGGCAATCGATGGAGACCCTACAGGTCGCAATCGTCTCGAAGCCTGCGACTGCCACAACATGTGTTCAGCACAAGATCCTCTCTCTTGTTCAACGCTACTAGAATTGGATAATTCCCTACCCAGTCTTTGTCGATGGCGTGGAAGCGCTTTGCCTCTCCGGGCATTTGCTTTGCGATGTCTCCACCAGTAAAGACTGGTTCCAATGATGTCCAGAGGACTTGTACCTTTGTCCAACTTTCGATTGTGTCTGCAGATCAACGCACGGTCTTCAGGGCAGTGCAGGGCATACAAGCGGAAGGATGATGCATTGGCTTGAATAATTAGAGACTGCACCTGGCGGCGATTAGGACCTGCCTGCGACATCCGAAAGGGTGCTGAGCATGTTCACTACCCTCTCTTTGAATGGTATAACATGGCGCATGGCATTCATCGCATTCAGTGTCATTTGCGACTCCTCAAGTAACTCCTGGACCTCCGCCACGCGGCCACCTTGTAGAATGCAGTAGTAGTCGCTGAATAACAGTAAATATAAGCTTGAGCACGATCGTTAGCTGGTTTATGAATAGACAATGGAGAAGTATCTCTGAATTATGCAAACATGCAAAAACGGCGGTATACTCATGTGCTGCCGTTACCAACAACAGTGGGGGTTAGGGTCGAAATACCCCCTGGTGTAACCTACCGAGTTTTCCACTTGCCGAATTCAAACATGCAAGTCTTCCACATGTTTTCGATATCTTTCAGTTTGCCCTCGATCACCAGCTGCTTATCTGCTGACTCGCAGATGTCGAAAATGTCATCCTACGACAGCGAAACCGATTGAAACCACTTGCCCTCATTTCAGAGGGAAATGACATTGTAATTCGGCTCAGCATTATGCGAAGCAGAAGGTGCCTAATGGTTCTACGCGCAGGAGAGGATAAAGTGCTATGCACCTTGTATTGAAGTAAGTCTGCGTCTACAAGGGCCTGAAGACGTGTCATTTCGTTGTCGATGCCAAGAGACTTTCCAGTTATTTCCTCCACTTGTTTCCAATGGCGCGCCACGATAGAAGGCTTGCTCAGCTCTTTTAAGAGTGGAAGAACCTGAAACAGCATTCGTTGTGCCCCAATTGCAAATAACTGTAGTGTCTTGGGAGTAGCATATGCTGGCACACATCTGCACCAACGAGCAATCGAGTACCTCAGTGAAGTCATCGATTTCTTTCTTGAGTTCAGCGAATGCATCAGAAGTCTTGAGCTGCTTGGGCAACTTTTTGCAAGCATCGGAAAAGAACTGAATTCTTTCTGTCATGAAAGGAATTTGGGGTGGGGCTTCAGCCCACAAAATATCTTTCCACTCTTTAATTGTGTCTACTACCTGCAAAAGAAAAGCCACACCCACGCTCTCCCTCAGCAAACAAACAAATGTTTCAAGCAACTAGTTTGCTGCTTTGAAGAGACGTCCCAATTTGTCATTTTTGATTTGCTTACTTGAACGTAAATATCATACAACAGGCTCAGGTTCGCCAGTTCTTTTTTTGTTTGCTCGAGCTCTGGGTAGGCCTGGTGAGGGAAGCCAAACAGTTCTTCTCCAGCGTAGTATATCTCTTGCTTGCGAGCTCGAACATCACATTCTGCCTTAAATCGCTTGACACGTTCTACGGCATCCCTTTAAAATAGGAGCAACACAGCCACAGGGGTATTCGAAGCTGTCAACATGCATGTTGGCTAACTGATAGAATTGCAAATCTAGAAAGCTGTGAATACACACAGTAAGGGTTTGCTAATGCTAACCTCGGCTTTATGCCGGGGCATGCCGGCCCATTTTTGACAAAATCTTCTCTGAATTGCTTGGAATCTGCCTTCAGAGTATTGATGTTGAGAATGAGTTCTCGCTTGTATGTAGACTGCATTTTCTGCAAGTTCGCCTGGGCTTCCTGCGCCTCGTCAATAAGCTTGGACCAGGAGGAACGCAGTAAAAGCCTCTGATCCTGTTCATCCTTGTCAATGAGAGTCACGTTACCTGGAAGGTAACGGTCAATCATACTGTACATTGTGAAGACAGGCTCAAATTGAGCCTCAATGTCTGCAGCGAACCACGGATGAGCAAACAGAGTGAGGGAGTTGAGCATTTGTACTGAATGACAGCAACCTGGTGATTATTGAGATCAGTTACTAAGTATGCCCTACCTGATTCTTGCTGGGTTATTGATGTGAGCGTATCCATAACGTGCCGTAATGCGTCTATGTCAGTCACTGGACGGTGGAGGCCCTTGTACCCCTGTCTTATTTGTTCCGTCAGTGCTTCTAAGCGCTCCTTTGCTGTAACGTGCAGCTTGCTGAGGTAATAAATGTTCCATCGGCGACCTAGTTCAATCAGCTGCGTAGCATGCAACACAAAACAAAGGTATCGGATGCACCCAGGGACAGCGAAGGACCCTTAGGTGTAACCCTCTATTGCATACCCTAGTACGCTATGTATGCTGTCACGACCTAAGTTCTTTAGTAAGGGTAACTATGTATTCCAGCTCCACTGGCGCAAAGACGAATATCTTCTACATTGCAACTGTTGCGGTGGAGCGAAGCCACTGGTACCTGTGGGTACAAAGCCGAACTATTTATAAGAAGCATTCCAATGGGCTTGGCTTGTTCCATTGAAAGCAACTGAGTCTCGACTTCTCGGAAGCTTTTTAGCTTCTTTTCAAAGTCTTCCAGTGACGGATTCTGCTTTTCAAAAGCCAAGTAGTTGTCCTTGCAAGGCTCCATCCACAGCCATTTGAACACCTGAAGGAAACGGATGCCTGACGGGTGCTACTGCTTCTGGTTATACGGTGTACCAACCGCAGTGCGGTGGACCAATACGAAACTGCGTTGTCTCACATCGAACTTGACGAGGTACTTTGAGACCTCATCTCGAATGTTTTGAATGGATCCGAAGAAGCACAGCAAAACCTTTTGGATATCCCTTTCGTCTTTTATGCGCAAACTAAACCCGTTGGGCTTGGAAGAAGCAGGCGTGTCTTCCCCATCCCTTTCCTCCTGGTGCCCCCATTGCCGAATGCACTTCGAACAGTTAAGAATAGCCACTGCTGCCCGATTTATCGCTTCCTGAAACTCGTCAATAGATGGGTGGAGCCGCACCCCGGTGCCGTCTAGTTGAATGTCCACTTCAAAGATGGCGTTCACAGAAGAGTCGGATGCCCCTGAATCTGGACAGCGAACTACCACGGGAAGCAAAGGAAATTGTGGTCACTGTGTTCACTGGCCTTCATTGCAAGATATTGTGCAGGAAGAGAATATGAACTGGCTGCGGTTGTGCCTCAGCAAGTAAGGGTCACGACGAATTACCCTGGGGCGCAGAGTACATCTGGCGCCTAAGGAAGTCAAAAGATCTGCGGGTGGCGAGCAAAATGGCCTTGTACAGGTTCCACTCGTACTGCAGCTTAATTTTCTCAGCTTCCTCCGCAAACTCCGTCTGCAGAGCCGTGAACAAAGGCACTACAGACACCCTACTGCTTATTAGACAATTACTATCATTTTGAGCTAATGCTGAAAATCGACGAATTTTGATACAATTCGCTTCCTTTGTGGGGACTCCGCATTGTCAGACGCTCTAAGATAAGGACCAGACACGGCAGCAGATAATATATTGAGTCCATATATACACATTGGGAAATTGTGCATGTGCAATATATATATTTTATATATATTGCACATGCACAATATATATATATATATATTAT